AAACTTATGCTAATAGCAGGCATATCAAGAATTCTGAATTGTGGAAATAAATGCATTGCTATAGTGGGAACTTTGAAAGTCATTTAAATTTAACTTTATCTTATCAGAAATTGTAAAGAGACATTGAATCTAAATATATTCCTCTGTTTAATATAATGTTTCTTTATTTTTGAAGGAGATTGGGGAGAACCTTGCCCAGAGTCCAGCAACTATTCCATAAAATTCAGCTTTTAAAATAAATGAATAGGCCAGGCGCAGTGGCTTATGCCTGTAATCCCAGCACTTTGGGAGGCTGAGGCTAGCGAATCACCTGAGGTCAGGAGTTTGAGACCAGCCTGACCAACGTAGAGAAACCCAGTCTTTACTAAAATTACAAAATTAGCTGGGCATGGTGTCACATGCCTGTAATCCCAGCTAATTGGGAGGCTGAGGCAGGAGAATTGCTTGAACCTGGGTGGCAGGGGTTACCTCAACCTGAGATCAAGCCATTGTACTCCAGCCTGGGCAACAAAAGCAAAACACCATCTCAAAATAAATAAATAAATGAATATAGGAACACAATTCTTTTCTAATAGCACCTTAAAAAAATCTTTCCATAAACTAAAAAGCTCTCATTAGTTATGACAGAGTTCTTACTAATAAATTGTAAGAGTAAGGATACTATATCCATTGAACCACACTTCTCTCACTTTTTTGGCTTATTTTGATATAACATTATAATATTTTTTACTGACAGAAATATAAAATTGAAAGTGAAATAGATAAAATATTTACCCATTGATAAAATATCTAATATTGTATTAGATAAAACATTTACCTATTGATATTTATGTATTTTCTAATGTAAATTATCACATTTTTGAAAATTTAAATCCAAACCTTTAAATTCCACTTTTGCTAAAAATAATAGATTTTTCAATATATGAATAATCTAAGATGTTTTAATATTATTCTAACTGCTTTGAATCCTGAGTCCTGCAGCAACTCTTTTTTTTTAAGTGAATATTTTTTCTACTTTTACTTTAGGTTCAGAGGGTACATGTGAAGGCATATTACATGGGTAAATTGCATGTCACTGAGGCTAGGTGTGAAAATGATCCCATCACTCAGGAAGTGAGCATAGTACTCAATAGGTAGTCTTCCAACCCAAGGCACCATCTCAACCTTCCCTGCCAAGCAGTCCCCAGCGTCTGTTGTTCCCATCTTTCTGCACATGTGTATTTAGTGTTTAGCTCCCACTTAAAGAGAACATGTGGTATCGGTGTTCTGTTTCTGTCTTAGTTTGCTTAGAATAATGGCCTCCAGCTTCATACATGTTGCTGCAAAGGATATGATTTCATTCTATTTTATGACTTCGCAGTATTCCATGGTGCATATGTGCCTCATTTTTTAATCCAGTCCACATTGATGGACATCTTGGTTGATTCCATGTCTTTGTTATCATGAATAATGGTATGATAAACATACAAGTGCATGTATATTTTGGGTAGAAAAATTTATTTTCCTTTAGCTATATATCCACTGATTGGATTGCTGAGTCAAATGATAGTTGTTTTAAGTTATTTGAGAAATCTCCAAACTGCTTTCTATAGTGGCTAATTTACATTTCCACCAAGAGCGTATAAGCATTCCCCTTTCTCTGCAACATCATTATCATCTTTTCACTTTTTAGTAATAGCCATACTGACTGGTGTGAGATGGCACCTCGTTATGGTTTTGATTTGCTTCTCTCTAATAATTAGTGATTATGAGCGTTTTTTCACATTTGTTGTCTGTATGTATATCTTCTTTTCAGAAGTTTCTGTTCATGTTCTTTGCTTATTTTTTTTTCATGGACTTATTTGGGTTTTGCTTGTTGATTAGGTCTTTATTGAATGCATAGTTTACAAATATTTTCCCCCATTCTCTAGGTTGTCTGTTTACTCTGTCAATAGTTTCTTTTCCTGTGCCAAAACTCTTTCATTTAATTGGGTTCAACTTGTCAATTTCTGTTTTTATTGTAATTGCTTTTGGGGAGTTAGTCATAAATCCTTTGTGAAGGACAATGTCCAGAATGGTATTTCCTAGGTTTTCTTCTAGAATTTTTATTATTTTAGGTCTTATATTTAATTATTTCACCTATCTGGAGTTAATTTTTGTATATGATGAAAGAAAGGTGTCCAGTTTCAATCTCCTTTATATGGATAGCCAGCTATCCCAGTACCATTGATTAAATAGGAAGTCCTTGCTGCATTGCTTGTTATTGTCAACTTTGTTGAAGAGCAGGTGGCTGTAGGTGTGTGGCTTTATTTCAGGGTTCTCTAACCTTTTCGATTGGTCTATATATCTATTTTTACACTAGTACCATGCTGTTTTGGTCACCGTAGCCTTGTAGTATAATTTGAAATCAGGTAGTGTAATGTCTCTAGCTTTCTTCTTTTTGCTTTGGACTGTTTTGACAATTCTACCTCTTTTTTGGTTTCTTATGAATTTAATTCTTTTTTCTAATTCTGTGAAAAAAGACATTGGTAGTTTTATAGGGATGGTATTAAATCTATAAATTGCTTTGACAGTATGGTCATTTTAACAAAATTGATTCTTGTCCCTAAGCATAAAATATTTTTCTATTTATTTATGTCATCTCAGATTTTTTTCATTAATGTTTTGTAATTCTCATTGCAGATTTTTCACTGTCTTGGGTAGAGGCATCCTTAGGTTTTTTTATGTGTGTGGGGGGGGCTATTGTGAATGGAACTGCACTACTGATTTGACTCTGAGATTACATATTATTGATGTATACAAATGCTGCTGATTTTTGTACATTGATTTTGTATCCTAAAACTTTACTAAAGTCATCTGTCAGTTCTAAGAGACTTTGGGCGGAGTCCTTAGGGTTTTCTAACTGTAGAATCATATCATCAGTAAAGAAAGATAATATGACTTCCCTTTGAATTTCAATATTAGAATTTTTATGAGAGGGTTCTAACTGTTATTAGTCAAGAGGACCCAAGAACCCAATGGAGAATTCCTTATCATGGTACATTCACAATGGAAAAACTGTTGAGTAGTATCTACTAAAGCTAGATAAGTACTTACATATGATTTAGCAATTCTATTTCAAGTTTTTATTCAAATAGATATTAGTTTATATGTTGACAAAAAGACATGCTAACATATTCATAGTAACATAATTCATAATATTCTAAGTGGAAACTACCCAAATGTCTATAAACAGTATAAGAATGATTATAAAATATGACATGCAAAATATAATTGTCTCACAAAAAAATGTAATATTTAGGAAATAAAGCTAAGCATGAAATACATTTTGTAATGAGGCCTTATATTTAAAGTTCAAAAGGAGTTATAACTAATCTGAGAAGTGAGAAATCAGTATTTTTTTCACTTTACTTTAGGCTCAAAGGGCACATGTGCAAGTAACCCTTTGGTAGGATTAATGGCTAGAAGAAAACACAATGGGGATTCCTCATGTGCTAATAACATGCCATTTATTGGTCTGGGTCCAATAAACATAACAGTATATATGTAACACACAAGTATGTATGTATGTATGCTACATGTCAATAAAAAGTTTAAAATATACTATGTTGTGATGTTATTATAAGCTGACAAATGCATTATGCCAGTTTTACATATTACATATTTAGGCCTAAATTTGGTATAAATAATATAATTTAAGTAGGGGGGATGCCAAGATGGCCAAGAGGAGGCAACACCGTAATGCAGCTCCCAGCGAATGAGACACAGAGGTCTAGAGGACTTCACGATACCAAGTGAGGTGCCGGGTTCCTTGCAGTGGAACTGGTAGGATTCTGAAAATAGCCCAAGGAAGGAGAGCCGAGAAGCAGGGCGAGAGTAGCCCAGGGAGGGTGAATGGAGACAGGGCGGGGCATGTCCCCACCTGGAAAGTGCAGCCAGCTCAGAGAGTCGGAGACTTCACCCCTTCGTTCCTCTGATTCAGGTCCTGTGGTTCCCTCATCCCTCCTCCAACCCACAGTCCATGAGAGCCCCACTGGACTGAAGGGTGTCATGGGTTGTCGATGCAAATCTGAGCCACAGCTCCCGCCCAGTGCCACAAGTTGGCACAGACCTGGGAGGAAGTGTGGACTAATGCCAGCCGAATGAAACTACCTATCCCACAGAAAGAGGTAGAGTTGAAAGCAGGGAAACTGGTCATAAGGCCTGGCAGGCCCCACCCTCACAAAACTCAAACTGAAGCCAGAGCACTAGAGAGCTTCCCAGTGAAAACACCAGTTTGATCCCAACTGGGAAGGCTGAGCTCAGGGAAGGAGAGATTCCATTGGGAAGACGGGGCTAATCTGACCTGCCTAAACAAACTCCAGGGGAAGAACACCCACGCAGCAGCCTGACTGAATCTGAGGCATCCCAGCAGCGCCTCTACAAGCCTAAAAAGATATAGCTCCAATCTCAACAGAAAGCACATACACTCAGAGATTCCTCCTAAAATCATCAACTTCAAAGATCAAAGGGAGATAAACCCATGAAGATGCGGGGGAAAGAAAAAACAGTGCAAAAAGGGCGAATCCATCAAAAACCAAAACACTTCTTCTCCTCCTCCCAGAGATCACAGCTCCTCACTGTCAAGGGAACAAAACAAGACAGAGAAAGAGTTTGACAAATTGACAGAAGCAGGCTTCAGAAGGTGGGTATTAGCAAACTTCTCTGAGTTAAAAGACCATGTTCTAACCCAATGCAAAGAAACTAAGAACCTTGAAAAAAGGTTAGATGAAATGCTAACTAAAATAACCAGCCTAGAGAAGAACATAAATGACTTGATGGAGCTGAAAAACACAGCACAAGAACTTTGTGAGGCATACACAAATTTCAACAGCCAAATACACAAGACACAACATACCAGATAAAGCAGAAGAAAAATATCAGAGGTTGAAGATCAAATCAATGAAATAAAATGAGAAGGCAAGATTAGAGAAAAAAGAGTGAGAAGAAATAAAGCCTCCAAGAACTGTGGAATTATGTGAAAAGACCTAATCTCCGCTTGATCGGCGTACCTAAATGTGACATGGAGAATGAATCCAAGCTGGAAAACACTCTTCAGGTTATTATCTGAGAGAACTTCCCTAACCTAATAAGGCAGACCAACATTCAAATCCAGGAAATAGAGAGAACACCACAAAGATACCCCTCAAGAAGAGCAACCCCAAGGCACATAATCATCAGATTCACCAGGGTTGAAATGAAGGGAAAAATCCTAAGGGCAGCCAGAGAGAAAGGATGAGTCACCCACAAAAGAAAGACCATTAGATTCACAGCAGATCTCTCCACAGAAACCCTACAAGCTAGAAGGAAGTGGGGACCAATATTCAACATCCTTAAAGAAAAGGACCTTCAACCTAGAATTTCATATCCAGCCAAGCTAAGCTTCGTAAGTGAAGGAGAAATAGAATCCTTTACAGAGAAGCAATTGCTGAGAGATTTCATTGCTACAAGACCTGCCTTACAAGAGCTCATGAAGGAAGTACGAAACATGAAAAGGAACAACCAGTATCAGCCACTGCAAAAACATACCAAACAGTAAAGAACAATGACGCAATGAAGAAACCACATCAACTAATGGGCAAAACAACCAACCAGTAACAAAATAGCAGGATCAAATTCAAACATAATATTAACGTTGAATGTAAATGGTCTAAACACACCAATCAAAAGACACAGACTGGCAAACTGGATAAAAAGTCAAGACCCGTCAGTGTGCTGTATTTAGGAGACCCATCTCACATCCAAAGACTCACACAGACTCAAAATAAAGGGATGGAAGATTTACCAAGCAAATGGAGAGCAAAAAAAAAAAAAAGCAGGGGTAGCAATCCTAGTCTCTGATAAAATGGTCTTTAAACCAACAAAGATCAAAAGAGACAAAGAAGGGCATTGTATAATGGTAAAATAATCAATGCTACAGGAAGAGCTAATGATGCTAAATATATATGCACCCAATTCAGGAGCACCCAGATACATAAAGCAAGTTCTCAACAACCTACGAGGAGACTTAGACTCCCACACAATAAGAGTGGGAGACTTTAACACTCCACTGACAATATTGGACAGATCAACGAGACAGAAAGTCAATGAGGATATCCAGGACTTGAGCACAGATCTGGACCAAGCAGACCCAATGGACATTTACAGAACACTCCACCCCAAATCCACAGAATACACATTCTTCTCAGCACCACATTACACTTATTATAAAATTGGCCACATAATTGGAAGTAAATCACTTCTCAGCAAATAGAAAACAACGGAAGTCATAACAGTCTCTCAGACCATAGTGCAATCAAGTTAAAACTCAGGATTAAGAAAAGCACTCAAAACCACACAATCACATGGAAACTGAACAACTTGCTCCTGAATGATGAATGGATAAACAATGAAATGAAGGCAGAAATAAAAATGTTCATTAAAACCAACGAGAATGAAGACACAACATACCAGAATCTCTGGGACACATTTAAAGCAGTGTCTAGAGGGAAATTTATAGCAATAAATGCCCACATGAGAAACAAGGAAAAATCTAAAATCAACACCCTACTGTTAAAATTGAAAGAGCTAGAGGAGCAAGGAAAAAAAAAAAAAACCTCAAAATCAAACAGAAGACAATAAGTAACTAAGATCAGAGCAGGACCGAAGGTGGTCGAGACACAAAAAACCCTTAAAAAAATCAACAAATCCAGGAGCTGATGTTTTAAAAGGATCAACAAAATAGGCCACTAGCTAGACTAATAAAAAAGAAAAGAGGGAAGAATTGAATAGATGTAATAAAAAACAAAAAAGGGGAGAGCACTACCAATTGCTCAGAAATACAAACTACCATAGAGATTACTACAAATAGCCCTATGCACATAAACCAGTAAATTTGGAAGAAATGGATAAATTCCTGGACACTTGCACACTCCCAAGCCTAAGCCAGGAAGAAGCTGAAACCCTGAATAGACCAATAATGAGGTCTGAAGTTGAGGCAGCAATTAATAGCCTACCAATCAAAAAAAGTCCAAGTCCAGATGAGTTCACAGCCAAATTCTACAGATGTACAAAGAGGAACTGGTACCATTCCTGCTGAAACTATTCCAAACAACACAAAAAGAGGGAATCCACCCTAACTTTCTATGAGACAACATCATCCTGATACCAAACCTGGCAGAGACACAACTAAAAAAGAAAGCTACAGACCAATATCCATGATGAACATTGATGCAAAAACTTCAGTAAAATACTGGCAAACCGAATCCAACAGCACACCAAAAACTTATCCACCACAATCAAGTAGGCTTCATTCCAGGGATGCAAGGCTGGCTCAACATACACAAATCTGTAAACATAATCCACCACATAAACAGAACCAAAGACAGAAGCCACATGATTATCTCAATAGATGCAGAGAATGCCTTCAACAAAATTCAACAGCACTTTATGCTAAAAACCCTTAATAAACGAGGTATTGATGGAATGTATCTCAAAATACTAAAAACTATTTATGACAAACCTGCAGCTAATATCATACTGAATGGGCAAAAACTAAAAACATTTCCTTTAAAAATTGGCACTAGACAAGGATGCCCTCTCTCACCACTCCTATTCAATATAGAATTGGAAGTTCTAGCCAGAACAATCAGGCAAGAAAAAAAATAAATAAATAAAGGATATTCAGTTAGGAAAGGAGGAAGTCAAATTGTCTCTATTTGGAGATGACATGATTGTATATTTAGAAGACCCATCGTCTCAGCCCCAAATCTCCTGAAACTGATAAGCAACTACAGCAAAATCTCAGGCTACAAAATTAACGTGCAGAAATCACAAGCATTTCTATATGCCAACAATAGACAAACAGAGAGCCAAATCATGAGCTAACTCCCATTTACAATTGCTACAAAGAGGAAAAATAACCTAGGAATATCACTAACAAAGGATATAAACGATCTCTTCAAGGAGAACTACAAACCACTGATCAAGGAAATAAGAGAGGACACAATAGATGGAAAAACATTCCATGCTCATGGTGAGGAAGAATCAATATTGTGAAAATGGTCATACTGCCCAAAGTAATTTATAGATTCAATGCTATCCCCATATGTGTGTGTGTGTGTGTGTGTGTGTGTGTGTGTGTGTGTGTGTGTATAAAAGCAAAGTGGCAGATTATCTTAATATAAAATATATGTCTGTACATATTTTCTTTTTATGTGTTCATAAGGTTTATAAAATAAACACATATATTCATTATAGATACAGCTGTTAATTCTTTATAAACAGCAATAAGAACAATTTATTTGTAAGTAAACTTCTTACCATATCATAATACTGAACTTGGTTCACTTGTTTTGCTTTTTGGGGTTTGTTTTTATTTCGTGTTTGAGATGGAGTTTCTCTCTGTCACCCAGACTGGAGCACACTGGTATGATCTCAGCTCACTACAACCTCTGCTTCCCACGTTCAAACAATTCTCCTGCCTCAGCCCCCTGAGTAGTTGTGATTACAGGTTTGTACCACCATACCCAGCCAATTTTTGTATTTTTAGTAGAAACAGGGTTTCGCCATGTTGGCCAAGGTGGGCTTGAACTCCTGACCTCAGGTGATCTGCCTGCCTTGGCCTTCCAAAGTGCTGAGATTACCCACTTTTTATAAGGTTAAAGATGTATACTCAAAAGTTTAAAAAGGATGTTTGATCATTAAACAGAAATATGTTTTAATTATAGGTTGATTATATCTACATTATTCAAAGTCAAATACACATAACTGTTTTGTTCTGTGGAGAAATGGCTCAGTGAGAGACTGACATTGCCCAAAATCTTTGGAACTGAATAGCTGGAACAGAATGTGTGGGATGAATAGAGACTCCGAAATAATTTTAGGAGAAAAAAAATGATAAGACATTATTATTAGTAGTAAACCTCTGCATCCTTGATTATATTTTCTATAATTGGCTAATCTCTGAATTTAAAAATCACTTCTGAATAAAATATTACGGAGCCAACAGTAAAATAAGGTTTGGGCAATTTAGCTGAGAAAACATACTTTGACTCTAGTATTTAACATTTACATGCAAGAACAGTATAAATAACCCTGTGTATTAGGTATTCCTTATAACTAAGGAAACTAAGACATATCATGGTTAAATGCCATGTATAAGGTGAATAGGATGTAGTAGAATCTGAATTGCAAACAAAGAATATCTGATTTCAGAGCCTATGCTCTTAGTCATTGTGCTATATTTCCTACAATAGAATCAAAACATTCTACAGAAAAGGCATATGTGTTACAGACACTTTGGAGCCTAAAAATATAATTTTCTAATCAGTTCAAAATGGTGGCTAAAACTCAGCGTAACAGAGGTAAATATCTTGTATATCTTAATATGGCAAAGGAAAAAATACACTTTCTTTTACAGGCTCAGAAAAGGGACATCAACATTTGGCAACTGCTTTTGAAAGTCCATGCTTTCATAAAGGAATTCTGCCTGGAGAAGAAAATCCAAGTAATAGGGTTGAATGACTTACAGGCTTACCACAAACTTCAGATTTAAAAGAAATAATAGTAAGTTGATTTAAAAAAATACAAAACTACAGTTGAGTAAAGCCTACAAGATAAACTGATTCCTGGAAATCATACGCATTTTATTTTATATCTGTGCTGCAATGTTTTTACTTTGGCTGTCATGGCTTCAACTTATATTGCCACTGATTCATCAGTTAGGATTCATTAAACAGTTTCAGTATAGCATAATCTATAATTTAAACTGTGAATTAAAAGAATACATAATATAGATATTTTCTATCCTCAGGATACTCTAAAGCTGCAAGATCAATTTCACTTGTAATAATAATTGTAATATGGTATAATTGTTTTTATTTAATACAGCAAAGGAAAGATGACATTTCCCACTTCCGTTTTCAGAAATCACTTAAAGTGTGTAGAAGACCATGAATAAGAAACCCAAATATCTTCCTCAAATTGATAGATAACTATATATCTGGACTACAGAAGCAATCAAGGTTAAAAAGAAGTGTCACATGACATTGAGAGATGACGCTCATCACTGATGACATCAAATAATGCTAGTAGAAAATCATACTTTGAGAAATGTGGCACATACCTAAAGGCAAACAAAAACAAAAACAAAAAACCTTATTTAGAGCAATGAAAATCATTGCAATATCTTGCTTGTAAAACTTACCTGAAAGAAATAAAGTCGAATTTACAGAAACAGGTTTGTAGATGAACCATGGGGAAAAAGAACACACTGTGAGGTAACTTGTGATTTCTAAACTTTAGGAGTGAAGTCTAAATGATGTCTCTTTTCTCTCTCCCTCCGACACACACACACACAGACACACACACGCACACACACGTGTGCGCGCATATCTGTATCACAGAGAATTCTTGCTGGCCAGAAACTAGACTCTGTCTTTTTCTCCTCAATATAAGCTTCTCTGTTCAAAAAGAAAGGTAAGTCATAATCACAAAGAAACCTACAGGAACATAAGATGTTTTGCGGTAAAAGAAGAAAGGGAACAAGAAAGGCAGATGGCAAGTAAAAATCTTAGCCAGAAAAAATTTTTTCCTACCGTAAATGAAAAGTATAACCATACATATGGTCATGAATATACAAAACAATACAGAAATCATAATTAAAAAATAAGGAACTAAGGCACAGATACAAGAATTTAGGGAAAATATGGCAAGACAAAAATAAATAAACCGTGAACTGGTAGAGTTCAGAAGAAATGGAATAAAAAATTTAAGCTAATAGGATATGACAAATATTATAAATTATCTGACATTGGTTGGCATAAGATGGCAAGCCTTCAAAGAAGAGAAAAAGTTTGACAGAGACATTAAAGTGTGAATGAATGTGAGGACGATCAGCAGACAGAAGGAAGTCCAGCCAAACATAATATGAAGGAAGTCATAAGAAGTGTATTTTCAGGGAACTAAAGAGGATTACCTTACCTGAAGTGCAGGTTATGAAGGAGAGACATGATAGATGGGACTGGAAATGCAGAAAACTACTGGATTTTGGAGAGTATTTTATGCCATACTAATGAATGTAACTTCATGTTATTAGTAAAGAGGATCCACCATTATTTTAAATCAGAGGATTAACATGATGTTTCTTATTTTAGACAAAACACCCTGCCAATAGCTAGGTGGGTTAATACATTGATAGAAAATAGGGGGCAGATAAAGCTGTGAGAATAAGGGAAAGTTCTTTTAGTAATCCAGATAAGATATAATGTCCTTAATTGTTGACACTTACATAGGGATATAAAAGAGTGGGAAAAATCAAGAAATATTTAATGTAAAACATCCACAAAACTGTGCGATAGATTGAATATAGCATATAAGGACAAAAACTGAAGAATGACTCCAAGATTCCAGATTGCTTGACTCATTTGCTGACATTGTAACAATCAATATAGAAAACAATCAATATAGAAACAACCAATGCCAAAACAATATACATGTTTGGTAAAGATAAGCAGGAAGAAGAGATGATAAGTTACACTTAAGTGTATTATAATAAACCAAAAAGAATACAGATAATAAATTGAACCAAAAGCTAAACATCAAAAATACATTTGGTAATTTTTGGTTGTTAATAAGAAAACAATCATGTTTTCACATCATATTTTGTAAAGGATTTTTATCTAGCATGGTTTTAAATGCCTTGGAATATTACAAATATCATGAACTCTGTCTCTCAGAAGCAGTAAGATCTCAGAGGAGAATTCCAGCAGAAATTACAAAATTTTGAAAAATAGATCTTTTGGGAATCAGCCTAAAATATTGAAATCATTTTATAAACTTGGTTTGAAAACATTAGTACTTTCCAAAAAAATACTTTTCTTCTTTTCTTTCTAAAGTTAGTATATTCTCTGTTAATTTATTATAAAAAAAAAAGTCCCATGTCATAACAAACACTTTCTACTTATTTCAAACTTTCATTTAATCTTTAGTTTAACAGCGATTTACATGATAGAAGTAAACCACATTTTCTGTTGTACTCTAGAAATTTCAGGATACCTGGAACATTATTTAATAAAATGCTGTAAAATGTTAGCAACAAGAAAGGTAGTCAGTGTCATGGGAAATGCAGAGAAATAAAATGGGTTCCTCTGTTACAGGCTGTCAGCTCTGTATTAAACAGCACCACATTTATTTACTTACCTTCAGTGTTTCTTACTGTGACACAATGAAAGAAGCACTTTGTCTTTTTCTTAGTGTGAGCCATTCTTTAAATGCTTTTCTTGGCTTCGCTTTTGTGATTTACTTTTCACCTTTATTTCTATTTTTAATTTTGATTATGCTTCTTCCTGCATAATTATGAAAGACATACCTTTTGAACAGATGTATAGTAACATATTTCTAATATATAAAGGTCACAGCACAAAAAGACTAGGACAGAAAGAGATATGCGATAGCTTTAATATTTGTGATTAGCATTTGGTTGAAGATGGTAGGTATCCATAAGAAAACAGTGTTTCTGATCATCCATCCAGAGCTATGCTGGTGGCTGTGAGATAAACAAAGTTACATGAGAAAATCTATGCCCTTATGAAGTTTATAATATTCTTGCATTGAAAAATAAACGCTATGGACTGAACAGTGCTCCCTGTCCCCAATTCATAGGTTGAAGCCCCAACCCCCCGGTATGACTGACTGTATTTTGAACTTGGGCTTTTATAGAAGTAATTAAAATAAAACAAAGTCATGAGGGTAGAGCCCTGATCTAACAAGATTAGCGTTATAAGAAGAGACACCAGAGAACTTGCTCTTTTTCATCTCCGTCATGTGAACAATGTAAGAAAGCAGTCCTATACCAGCCAGGAAGAGGGTCATCCCCAGAATCTGGCCATGCTGGTTCCCTGATTTTGGACTTCCAGGTTCCAAATCTGTGAGAAAATACGTTTCTGGCTTTTGACCAACAAGTCCACAGTGCTGTGTTATGACAGCCCAAGCTAAGACGGCAGGTTTACACCTAACCATACCAAGTAGGCAACGTGTATGTCCTAGAGAGCACTGGGTACATATGGGACATGCTAATTCTGTCTTGAGAACAGGTCAAGGAGAAAAGGAAGTTGCCTTTGTAGTGAGTCATAAAAGATGAACAGCTTTTCTATGAGAATAATGTTCCGACTGGATTAACTTGAACAAGGGCACAAAATGTGAGGTGTGCATGGAGAATTATGGGTCACTTTTGGTGACTGCAATGTCAGGTACCAGCATGTGGCAAGAACAGAGTAGGAGCAGAAGGAGAGGAGGAATATATAACATAAGATGATCTGGAAGTGGTAGGTGTTGGGCTTTTGTGGTAGTAAATACGTAACAGCCCTCATTTGCTGGACAAATTAGAATCAATTTAAAAATAAAAAGTAAAGCAGGTTAAAAAATAGCATATTTATTACTGACAAAGCTGATCATTTTGCTATTTACGTGACTCATGATAGTCAT